TGTTGTTGGAGTGTCCCAAGTTAGGACAGTGGTTTGTCACGCTCTATGGTCCAGTTCCAGATGCTTGTGGAAAAATGTAGAAGGAACTGGCTGGTCACGTAAGAATATTCTAGTCAAAGCAAAAACACAAGGTAATAGATCATCCACTAGAAAAGTTACATATTGTAGCTTTAAAGGGACAGTCTGACATTTTTGACATAGGGCCTCATTTCCTAGTGAGCCAGAGTGTTTTAAGTTTTTAAAATATTCCATCCAGTCCTTGTATTTGCAGAGGTCACTGGTGCTAGGCTAGTGCATGTCAATGGCCATAGTTAGCCTGCCACTAAAAACAGTCTTACCCACTCCACAAAACACCCGAAGAAAATCTATCCAGACTCTCCATGTGAATGTCTGTGTCTATAGAATAATGTTTGAAATAAAACTAACCTTGCATTGCATGAATCATCACATGTTGAGGGACTATTTTCTCATATGGTAAAGGAGAAATTAAATTTGCCAACTGGACAAAGTTTATTTGGTCGAATACGTGAAGACTGCAGTGAGCGCTACATTGGATGCCACAAAAGGATGTACCAACACAGACGAGAGAGCAGCAGTGGACCTCAGTCTGCCGCACATTTCCACCTAAAAGCCATGGGCCACTCCTTTGAGGACAGTGAGGTACAGATCTTAGCCAGAGAAAAGAACTGGTTTGAGAGGGGACTTAAAGAAGCTATTTTTGTTAAGAAAGAGAATCCTTCTCTAAACAGAAATGGAGGACTCAGACATCATCTGTCTCCTATTTACAACTCCATCCTCAAACCTAAATCAAAACAAACAAACAAGAGAACAATAGTGGTAGCCAGGTTAGGTCCAGAGGTGTGAAAGCTCCCCATCTTAACAAACCAACCTTGCATTTTTAGGGATTTATATCTAAGCAGCAGCAGCAGCAGTGAGTTGTACTTCCTGATAGAAAGTTTGGCAGCAGCAGACTGATATATGAGAAAATAGTCCCTCAACATGCGACGATTCATGCAATACAAGGTTAGTTTTATTTCAAACATTATTCTATAAACACATATTTACATGGACAGTCTGGTGTAATAATAGATTTGCTTTGGGTGTTTTGTGGAGTGGGTAAGGATAACTATGGCCATTGACATGCACTAGCCTAGCACCAGTGACCTCTGCAAAACTGAATGAAATATTTAAAAAAGTGTTTCCACACATTTGCAACACTCTGGCTAACTAGGAAATGAGGCTCTCTGTCCAAAATTCCGAACTGTCCCTTTAAGTCCTAACAACAGCCATGTCAAAGCCTGTGTCCACATGACTGAAATGTTTTACTTTGTCTCTATCCACAGAGCGACCTCTCATGTCCTCTGCCTAAACCTTCACAGCTCTCAGACAAAGAGGCTCCAAATAATAGACTTCCTCAGCATGTGCTCCGTGGGCTGTCACTAAAGCACCTACAGGGCTGTCTGTCAGGTGACACCTTCTACATGTTTCCTCTGCAAAGATCTCATTGGCTCTTTCATGCTCTCAGGTGGAGATGAACATGCATTTTCTTGGAGCAGGGTCTTAGACAAGAGAGGTGACATTTGTCTCTTTATAACCAGAAATAGACGAAAACCAACCATATATGCGAAACAAGAGTAACTCAAAAGTAACAAAAGTTTAAAGGTGCACTATGTTAGTTTTCTGCTTGTCTCCATGGTGATGTTAATGCTTTCACTGGTTGAGATTGAACTCTTGCGTCAATTCAGTTAGAGGTATGTTATCATTGACTATTAGAAATACTTTAAAAACATGCATTCTTACAGTGAGTGGGATCAGCTCTCCACAGATCTGACCTGTAACTTTCCATGGTGGAGTTTAAAGGGCCCATGTTACGCTATTTTCTGGTCTGTTATAATGTAGTTTCCTCATCAAAAACATACCTGGAGTTGTGTTTTGTTCATTCACACATGTTTAACACACAAACTCTTTTAATTGAATTGAATTATCATTTAATTTCAGCCCTGGAATTGCCAATTATTACTGAACAAAAGCTAAAAAAGTATCTGTTAACTTGAAAATTACTGCTTCATCATTTACATCATAAGGTGAAACAGAGCATTTTGAGCTTTGACGATGACACATGTAGGAATGTAACGATATCCAAATCTCTTGGTATTTGATATTATCACGATATGCATTTCACGATACGATATTTATTGTGATATTTTGAAGAGGCTGATATAATTATAGATGGAACACTTTTTTGCTTTTAAAATACCTTGACAAGATTTTGATGCAAATTATTTCTGTCAAAATCCCAAGAATTCAAAAACATATAACTTCATATTGTCTGCACTGAAATGAATCATGGGATATGTAGTTCCCGATGTTCATAAGCTGTTGCTTCTATAAAACCATGTATTTAAACAAAGAAACTTGTAATTTGATATATTGTGACAGTCCACCATATTATTGTGAGACTTTTGACGGTACGATATCATGATATTTCGGTTACTGTTACATCCCTAAAGACATACCAATAGTAAGTAGTTGCTCAAATGTACGAATTAAACAAAACACAACTCCATGTTTGTTTTTGAGGAAGTAACAACATTCTAACATGGTTAAAAGCTCACACGAGTCAATTTACCGTAGTACAGGACCTTTGCTGCCATACAGTGGAATATTTCAGACATCTCTCTGGAGACAAGCAGGTGGCAGATCCTACAGAATAGTTAAATAGTGCATCTTTACATAGACTCAATTCAGATGCTATGATCTTTTAATACAAATACATGTACCATATTTTTCGGACCATAAGTCGCTCCGGAGTATAAGTGGCACAAGCCGAAAAATGCGTAATGAAGAATAATAAAATATATATAAGTCGCACTGCACTTTTTTAGGGAAATGTATTTTATAAAATCAGAGACCAGGAACCAACATCTTGAAAGCCAAGTTATAGTAACAAAAATAGAACAGAGAACAACAGACTGTTAATGTCACATATGAACAGTTCTTCAGATAACTATAACATAAACAACAGAACAGAACAAGTTTACCAAACTCTCCATCTCACTCCAAATCACTAAATCCATTGAATTCTTCATTCTCGGTGTCACTTCTGAGCAAATCCGTGACCTCCGGAGGTAAAAGGAGCGCCACTTCCTCTTCTGTGTAGCTGTCGTCAGACTCAGCATCAGTTCCAGTAAGAATTATTCCGGCGTTTCTGAATCCCAACAGGATGTTCCAGGCTTTGTCAATCCATCCAATGACTTTCAAGAAAGTTACATGGTGCTCCCTCCCGGTTACCGTGAAGCTGTGTTCTTCATCCCCCACTTTTGTCAGTTCCTCACATGTTTCTTGCTCTCTCCAAACTTTCTTTCTGCTGCTCAATTACTGAATATTTCACTACTTGCAGCAGGACAGAGGCTCTTTCTGCAGGATACATGCGCAGTAGAGTGAAGTGACAGTGGTACAAGAGTAATAGGAGCAGCAGATACTGACACACAAGCCTAGAGCCTCTCGCGACTGTCAGTGTAAAAATTTAATATATAAGTCACAGGACCACCCGAACCATGAAAAAAGTGCAACTTATAGTTTGAAAAATACTTGTACTTCACATCAGTAGCCTATATTACAATCTCAAAGTACCTTGGCCATTTCTACCCCCGCGCTCTTTGTGTGTCAGTGAAACCTCATGTATTTGTTTAGGAGCAGAAACAACCAAAGTGTTGTCCAGCAGTGGGCAGTTTGCCAGCTTACTCCCTTCAATCGTCAAACCTTATTGTTCGGTGGGCCCTCTTGAAACCGCTCACACACACACGCACACACACACACACACACACACACACACACGGTTCAGTCTGCATAAGCCTATTCCCCAGGGCAACACAAACCATTCAAACGCCTGTCTTTTGGTCTGGAAAATCCCAAACTGAGATACATTTCTTAGTGTGATCCGCCTTTTTTTTCATGTGTTATAATGGCTCAATAAACGCTTACAGACCTCAAACTTGGCTAGGAAGAAGTATTGCTAGAAAGCCCTTAGACGCTGTGCACTCATGACATGTATACAGTCCTAGAAGTGGCTGCCTCACAAGCTACTCTGTAAATTCTATTATTTTATGACCATTGGAGCCATCTGGTACTCCTTAGTCTCGCTCGCGTGTATGCCTCCAAATGTATACTGTACATGGGGGATATGAAGAATGCATTTGTCTAGTATTCTGAAATGAAATGTTTATATTGTGTGGGAGGAGGATGAGAAAAGCAGTTCAGTGAGTTTATGCAAGGCCACGAGACAAGACACAGTTCTGTTTCTCAGAGCATAAAAACATAATGATAAAACTACTGAAATAAGACTGATAGTTGGCCACGGCGAATGGAAAACAACTACAGATGTATTTTTTTGGTTATGTCTCAATAAAGTACTTCAATCCAAGGGCCACGTAGTATGTCTGCTGCTGACACCCTTATAGTAAAGTTAAAGTAAAGTATTGCTCACGGTGATTTATTTTATTATATTTTTGATGAATGTTTTTCAGAGGTCAAACTTTAAAAAAGAAAATTTCTTCTTCAGAATCCAAACTGTTAAAAATGAGCTATTTTCAGAAATGGTGTGAAACAGTGCCCCCTTGTGTGCAACCAGAGATCAGCACGCAAAACTTTCAAAGAGAAATTTATGTAGATTAAACTGTTCCAACTGTTTGCAGGGATTCTATAGGACTATATGATGAAAATTCATGCTTTTCACAGTTTTTCTTCCATTTCTTCTTATTATCAGTATAAATACAGTCCATGCTTAGGGCCCCAAACCCATAAAAACAAACAATAGATTGTAAAAGAGCAAATTCCCACAAAGGACTTCAGACATTGTAAAAGCAGAGGTGACGTAAACCTTTATGGGGTGTATATTTAGATGGCAATTGTCACCTGGAGGCTAACACACACCTCTGTCTTATCAACACCCATATTGTGACTGGCTAATGGTGCTGCTAACGTTTCCAAGTCTACTCACAGAAAGGTAGCAGAACTTTATTCACAGTTACAGAGACTTTTCAATGTCCACAAGACAGTTCTTTTGTGTTAATAAAAGTACTGTAACATCAACCAGTGAGACTTCCTGCTTGAATACATCTAAGTTATCACAGGCTGTACCAAACCAGACCTAAAATAAATTATTAACTATTAACAGCTTTATAAGCAAGGCAACTGTTATTTTTTAAACCACGACAATGACCAAGTGAATGCAACATAAATGGTTGTATTAAATGGCACTGCCCTCTGCTTAAACAATGGAGATTTCAAAAAGCAATAGTAGTTTGATTTGTCCAATGACAAGCTTTGAAAATGTTCTCCCTCAGTGAAGCCAGGCCAGTCATGGTTCACCACTTTGTACTCTCCTGGAGCAAAGCTAAAACCTCAGCAGCCACATCTGGCAAATTCTTCCCTCACATCTGTTTTGGATATTAAAGCTGTGCACGTCCATACAGTCTGATAGTAGCCCACATTTCAGTTAAGAGACCAAAGAAAGAGAGGGAACGGCAAATGTGTATGGAGATGGAATTTAAATTTCCTGCAACATGTTGTATTCATTTTGTAGATGAATGTCCATTAACGTGCTTATCTCACTGGAGATATTGTGATGACTGTGAGGTTCTGCATACTGAATGTTTTATTTTATAGGCATCACACTGATGTACACTGTAATGAGTTACACACTAACCAAATAAAAATACATGTAAATAAATTTAAATTATAACAAACAAACAAAAAACCTAAAATGCATTATTTTCGCTACTAGACTGTTTCTCCATCATCTTTTTCTTCCAGTTTGAAATTAGCTCTTTATTAAATTATTTCAAAGACTACATTTAAAAATGTAACTGTAAATCTACAAATCTGATAAGACTTCAGCCATTTATTGATCGATGTTTTTTCGTGTATTTCTAAGCAGTGCAACAGTGCCCTCTTGTGCCCAGTGAACAATCTCCACTCAAGACTTAAATGAACATAAATATGCTTTCAGTACTGCTTTATGTCTGCACTTGCTACTTTAAATGTATCAACAAAAAACAAACTCAGAAACAATTACTTATTCTTTAAATGATTTATATCATGCATTCTTTACCTTTACAAAATTTAAACTTCAAATAAGACTTGAAATGATTATTTTTCCAAAAATAGCAAAAAAGAAATCATTATCACATTTGTACCACTTTTAAAATGCTCTGTACAGTGATTTGTGTTCTTTGGAGAAGTAGCAGAGGCGACATAAGGCAACCAGTATGTATCAATTATAACAACATCTTTGAATAGTTAAAATGGCTAGAGCAAACTCACATGAACATGATAATACTGTCTGCTATCTGATCACCTGCCATTTAGTTTCTCAATAACTCCACGGATTAAAAGGTAAACAAGATTATGTAAACTGGATTACAAAAGGTGGATCTGTAACTGAGGAAATGATTTATGCAAAATAAAGACGACTGTTTTATCACCGTGACTTGGCACGTAGGTTTGACTAATCCACAAAGAACTACACAAGATGCCCTGCCCGAACATGAAGTTGCAGAGTCATCCTTGGGTATGTAGTTTATATGTTTGTACTGACTACAGTAAGACTTTAAAAAAACAAGCACAACCTACCCTAAAATGAACTTCTCCACAATATCCAGCACCATTTGATGGTCAAATAAGTTTTAAAAATTCCTAAGGCAAAAGCACACAAAATAATGGATATTTTCAGATTAAAGGGCTCACAATATATTTGGTCAAAAATTGATTTGGTACAAACTTCAGGTCATGATTTGTGTGCGTAATCATGAAAACAAAAAACAAAAACACTTTCGATTGTTTTCTGAATGTACTGCAACTACATCAAATGTAATGTAGCCTACACTACAGTATTACAGTCTCTTTTTAAGACCACATGTTTTGGACTGATGAAATCCCTGTTTTATCCCAACCTGCAAAGTAACATCTTCATGAAGGCCTTGTATTTGGTCAAGCTCAAGCTGTCTTCTTACAGACATGGATGAAGTAGCAGGGGGCCTTGGACTGGCCTGGGACATAGGTCTGAAAATCTCCGTAGACATTGTGTTCCAGTTTGCCGTTGAAAGCTTCGTTGAGCAGGCCTGTGAACTGCTCCAGTTTGTGAGGGTAATAGGACAGGCGGAATTTACTGAAAAACAGAGACACATTAGAAACTCTCACAGACGTTAATATTGTAGCAATGATAGCAGCTGGCAAGTTGGCAACTTTGACAGTGTGAAAGTTTATTCAATATTTCTTTAGCGTTTTAGAGTGCAGATAAGTTCAAATAAACAAGATGGAAGTTGTATTTACATCTCGTGTATACGAATCCTCTTTACAGTTTTCAATGTTTATAACCATAATCACTTGTAGCCAATTCTTCTAACTATCCTTATACACATGTAAATTGCATTCAAACAAACATTAATGAGTCATTTTTGCATAAAGGCAACATGTTACAATGAGCACATTTAAAAGTTTTACCTGAGCTCCGGAACCTTTTGGTTGTCCTCTTGAGGCACTTGAATGGTGTAGTCCAGAGTGATCATGTGAGGCTTACTGTTCACCCATAGAACAGAGGTAGTGATGTCCTGAGTTAGATCACTCTGTAACACAAAACATTTCATTTTAAACAGCAAAATATACTCTAGGTCAAGTTGGAGCTGGTATGTCTATAGATAAAATAATTGCATGTACACAAAGTTTTTGGAGGCAGAAGATGAACGCAGTGGGACCATGAGAACAGACTGGGATTATAATGGTATATGAAGTGGATTTTCCTGCACCATCTTGAAGTTTACTTAGTATTTATGCTTAGGAGTTCCAGCTGGAGAGAGCGTACTAGTTGATTAAACAATATGGAGTCTGGAAAAACATTGTAAATAAACAACATGTGTGTGCTATGTTGTTGTCTCCAGAGATTTAAATGTCATGCCGTAGAGAGCAGTTAGCTTTGGGTGTCTTGAAGACGCTATATAAATCCAATGCATTCTTATTATTAATCGTACTCTTCTCTTATCATTATTATTATTATATGGACATTACAATTCAGCACTTGTACATGTTGTAGATGAACTAATTTCCTTCATTAAAATGTTTCCTACTGTTGAATCTTTTACATACTAATATTAGTTTCTCTCCTCTCTAGTCTGTCATATTCACAATAAATGTTGTTTTATATATGAAAGTCAATCTAGCATATGGTTTAATAATTGTAACTCTTATTCGTCATGTAAGATTAAAGAGCCTACATTATGGTATTTTTTTCTATGTATATTTCCTCATCAAAAACAGACCTGGAGTTGTGTTTTGTTTCATTCACAAACACTGCATATTTAAACTGTGTTTTTGTCTCAAACAAAAAACACTGTACCACCTTGTGATGTCATATGGTAATACAGGAAGTGCTCCATTGTGTTTTTAACTTCTGTACACCTTCAATATGACAATTTTGTGTAATATAGGACCTTTAAGTGATACCAAAATACAGACAAAACCACAGAAAGTATCTACCTTGTAATAAATGTTTTTGCCTTGAGGTGCCTTTCCAGTCTCCAAGATGTAGTCGTAGTTACGATGGTCAATGATGAGAACTCCACCTGGTCGGACCATACTGGCAATGTTTAGAAGGGCTAATTTATGGTCACTCTGGTCCCCTAATGCCAGCAAATACAAACAATCACAATTACATATTTACACAATGAAGGAGAAAAGAGGTGTAGAGAAAATGTGCTTTTTTGGTTTATACCTTTAAAGTCTGGTAAATGAGCGAATGAATTGCCAAGGCAGATAACAGCATCAAAGCCATCCCCTGGTTTCTGCAAATCCTCTGGCAATGTTAGCCAGTTGGCTTCCTCAATCACTAGGAACAAAAAGCCCATAATTTCACATAAAAGTACAATATCACGGTATACTGGAAAAAATGATATTATATTGAAATTGGTTGTACCCCATTGGTCAAATGCAGGTTCCTTTCGTCTCTCCCATCTTGCCTTCAGTGCATACTTGAGCATTTTGTCACTGGCATCTACACTCGTCATGTTAAAGCCCTCCTCCACCAGCATAATGGAGTCAATTCTACAATGAAGAAAATACAAATAAATCGACTGACTTGAACAACTTGAACGATGTATATTTATACAAAAACTGTTTTAAGCCACAAAATACCAATGATACCACTCACTCAATTACTCACTTATTGTAGAATTATTTTTACTATTATGAGATAAAATACGCTGTCAGAGGAGTTGTTGAGCTTTGAATTCAGGAGTGGGATTCAAAGTTCTTTCCTTCACTAATTTGAGTTAAATATATGTAACACTAAAAATAGTAAGGCCAGTTGTAACCTCATTCCACTGCAAGCATGTGCCCTTCTAGTAAACTGGTGCACTGGACTCCTGCTGTAGAGGCCAGTGTTAGAAGACCATCTAACAATGTAACACATTTTTTATTAAAGTCTAAAAAATCGTATACTAATAGATGATTATTAGTATACGACTTCTAGAACACATAATAGATTTTCCTTCCATTTTCCCATTAATTGGGTCACTGAGATGTGCTGTGTTGGTAGGCCCTGACCCTGGTGGGTCCAAAACACAGATATACTATCAGGGTGAGATGCAACTGCTGCAAACCAGTTTAAGTACAAATTACAAGACTGATCCACCACTGCCTCTGGTTTATTTGCATGCCAAGTCCATAAATAACAAGTGTAAAATAATTTTACAGCCCAAAACCTCAACAACATAATGCCATGTAATGTGGTGGTGGCCCGACTGGTTTATCACTCCCAGTACAGTGGGAACTATGACACTCCAGGATTGACAAACAACGTGTCTAAACATTGTACCAGCGCTGCGCCCAGAGTGTGCATGACTGGTGCTACGTTGCACTTTTCATTCACTTTTCTGTGGCCTAATCCTGATTTTGTCAGGAGTTCTGCTGGTTGTAACAGGAATTACGCAGTGGCCATAGCTTTTAATTGAAAATGCATTGGCCCATTATTGTACATAAGCTATAGTTGGCACATCTATTTGGGTACATGGTTCATGTAGCTGGTTTTGCAATAACGCAGTATTTAGGTCATCAAGTACAACACCAAAATAAAATCGAAGTAATGCCAATACCAATCGTAGCCCTTGTGATCGTACATTCACAGTTAATATAAGAGATCATGTGTGCTGAAATATCAGGAGGCCGATACACCGAAATTACAGAACATAATCAATGCAGTTCAATGAGGCGTTCACGTTCACTCCGTAAACTGTAATTACCCAGTTCCGCAGGCTACATCCAGCACACGCTTCACCCCGTGCTCCCTCAACAGCGACACCACCCAGCTCTTGTACTCCTGTGTGCGGCTCTGAGTGTCCCCAATGTACAGCTGCCACACTTTGGCCGCTTTCCCATCGGCATATTGGTCTGGAAGACCCTCCGCGGCCACACCGAGGGAGCGGGTCCTGAACACGCTGTCCACCGACAACGACATGCTGCTGCCAACAGTCTTCAGAGACGGACCTAAACAAGTGTGAAAACAACAGCTAGCTGCCTTCTTAGCCACACTACCAACGAGCTATTGGTGCACACTTATGTCTCCACATGCTAACCTTCACTTGTTATTATTTATATGAGCTAAGTAGGCAGAAAACTTCAGCCCAATGACGCGTAGTCAGAGATTCACGCCTACTCTCTCATTGGCTGTAAAAGGGGGAAGTTCACCTCCACTTCCGTGTTTACGGCTGCTCCGTTTACCTCATGGATCTAGGTTTACCTCTTTAAACTCGAACAACTTAAATGTGCAAAATACAATTTTACAAAGTAGAGAGAGAACAAATCTGAAGTTATTGCCACCATTTAGAAAGAAACTAGCCTATCAGCTAACAGAGACCTTCCATGGTTTGATCTAAAAATAGAAGTTCATTTTGAGATTATTAACATATTACGTGCTGCTGTATAACTCAGTGTGGGGCATTTATGATGCCTTCCAACAAATTAGGGCCTAGTAACTCCTCCTGATGTGATTGGCTGCAACCCCATAATTACCAGCAGCGGTGAGGCAGAGTCAGCTCGAACCAGAGCAGTCCAGATTGGATCCACCACACTTTACATAATGACCACCACACAGACTGTGTTATCTAAGGGTTGACCTAGTGCACGAAAAAAAAAAAAAAAAAGCTCAATTGCCACTCTTTTGGTCTATTTGTCTTGTCAATATTCTTGAGCTTACAGGCTAGGATAGGATAAAAATTATAAAAGTAAAAACAATAAAAAATAAAATGAAAACAATAGAAATAACTAACATTTTGCTAAAACCCAACCACCAGAGGGCACAGTCTTTTAAGGACATATATTACATGAAATTGAGACTTGTGAGCTTTAAGCCATGTTATAATAATGTTTCCTCCTCAAAAACATACCTGGAGTTGTGTTTTGGTCCACACATGTTTGAGTAATCCTTTATTATTAGTCTGTCTACATCCAAAACTCTAAATTCTCTGTTCATTAGAAATGGGAAATTCCAGCGCTGAAATAAGCCAAATGATTCTAGAGAAGATGTGTAGCTTTTAAAAACACACTGGAGCACTTTCTGTATTACTACATGACATTACAAGGGGGATCAATGTAATATGGGCTCTTTGATGAGGAGGCTATGAATTTAGATTAAGTGATGTTTCTTCATCAACATTATGTGCAGAGTGATACTGGCAAGTGTGCAAAAGAAATAATCAGTGTGTTTTTATTTAACAATTTCACAAGGCTACATTGCATAGTGTTTGATATCAGTGCAGAATGAGTCATCTTATTGCAACAGTCCAGTAAAAATAGCTTTTTACATTAGTTTTGACATTGAGTATTGATCTCCTTAGTGACTGTCACTTGTGTGGAGTTTTGTTGTGCCCTCCTCTGCCTCTTGAGGGCATACCACCTGACCACACATACAGAAGCAATCACTAACAGGACTATGAAGATCCACAGCCAGATAAACCCTCCCCTGGACAGAGAGGAAACCTTCAGTGTACTATTTTTAGGCTCTGGAACTATTGGCGTAGTAAAGTCCACATATCCACTGTCATTTGTAGTGGGTACACATTTAACTTGATCCTGAAGAACAAATCCTTTATAACATGAGCACTTAAAACTCCCATATGAGTTTTTACACTTCTGTGCACACTGCTCCATCTCACATTCATCTATATCCTCGCATACGTGTTCATTCTTTATATACCCAACAGGACAGGAGCAAATCGACCTATCCATTTCGTCACACACAGTAGGACATTTCTGTTGAGTGCAGTGGAGTTTGCATCTTCTTGGATCTTCAGGGTCTGGTGCATAACCTTCATAACAAGAACATCTGTATCCATCTTTCACCACATGACAGTTGTGCTCACAAGGGCCATCTGAGCAACCACTGGCGCTTCGAAAATAATCTTGTAATTCTTGGATTTGGCATGCATGCTCGTGGTCAGTCTTGCACAAAAATCCATCTATTTCCTCCAAGCACGGTCTCTCTGTCCACTTTAGGTCGGGGGATGTTGACACACAGCGTGGAGAGCACAGCTGGACGTTATCTCCCCAGAAGTTGAACGACACATTTGAAGTCTGACTGCTGCTTGCCCATCTGTAACCTCTCAGCGGAGCAGAAAGGTCACTGCATGTTCCGTCTGGTAAACTTAACCCAATCCAGAAGTTGCCGTAGCCTCCATAATCCAGCGTGTGTAAGATGTCGTCATTTGCCACAAGTGAGAGCAGCTCCCCTTCGCTCCTCCGGCAAATTTCATCAGCTGTCTCAAAATCCACTTTGACTCTGTGCACGGTTACACAATAGCTTCCAGTGCAGTGGGGTCTACAGCAATCAGTCTTCTCAATGGCAGTAGAAAGGAAAGCCAACCAAAAAGTCATTGCTATTCCTTTCAGTATGAGTGAGTGCCACAGAAGATAGGCCATGTTGTAATGCAGTAGTAGATCATATTAAATTGTTTAGCTGTTCAGAGTTGGGAAAAACATTAGAGCTCAAGGCTGCCTATTCAGGAAGCAACACCCTCAGTATAAGCACTGGGATTTGGACAGGAAGGAAGCAAGATAATGGCCAGCTACGTTCTGACAAATGTGTGCTCATGGGAAAACACATGGCACAGAAGTTCAAGTTGAAGCTAGAATCCATACTTGATTGCTTAAAATACGTAAGAAAGGATTAATAAAAACTGGTGTATTGTTTTGTGTGATTTATTTTTGTAGTCTAGCCCCAGCGCAGATACAGCAGAGTATGTGCGTGAGCTTCTTTCACTGTCCAAAGTTTTCAAAGTTTTTGTCATTTATACAACACATTATAGTTGTCACAAAGAGATTTACAGAAGTGTACAGGGACAATGACATAAGAAGAATAAATAAATAAATAAATAAAATGTTTCAGTCCTTGTATCATGTGATTCTCAAAATAAAACCAAATATAAGAAAATGAAAAAACAACAATTTTCTTCAAATCAAAATGAAAAAAAAAAAAACAAACGTTAATTTGTTTTTTCAATTTTCAATTTTGTGTTTAAATGAATAATGGAAAAAACTGATTTGTTTCCCTGTCTGTTTCCCATTTCTGTGACTTAAACTGCAATACCGGACTTTTGCACCGCATACGAACTGAATCAGGACTGAACCATAACTAAAACAGGACTAAATAGGACTAAAACAGGTCTAAAACAGGACTTAACCAGGTCTAAACCGGTCTCAGTCCCGGTCCCAGTTTCCTGATCACCCGACTCACCCGACACTCCTGGTTTAGTCCTGGTTCAGCTCTGGTTTAGTCCTGGTTCAGCTCTGGTTTAGTCCTGGTTTAGTCCTTGTTTAGTCCTGGTTTAGTCCTGGTTCAGCTCTGGTTTAGTCCTTGTTTATTCCTGGTTTAGTCCTGGTTTATGACTGAGACCAGTACCAGACCAGGACTGAGATTGGGACCATACCGAGACCAGACTGGGACTGAAACCAGAAATGAGACTGGTTTAGACCTGGTTTAGACCTGGTTTAATCCTGGATTAGTCCTGTTTTAGTCCTGGTTCAGTCCTGGTTTAGACCTGGTTTAGCCCTGGTTTAGTCCTGGTTCAGTCCTGGTTCAGTCCTGTTTTAATCCTGGTTTAGTCCTGGTTCAGTCCGTATGTGGTGCAAAAGTCTGGCATTGCAGTTTAATTCAAGGAAAACAGACGTTATCCATTTTTAAATTTTTCATTTAGACACAAAATCAAAAACTGAAAAATTGTCTGTTTTATTTTTATCTTAGTTTTGGAGACAAATAATGAAAAAAAAGTTGTTTTTTCATTTTCTTTTTTTTTGGTTTCACTTTGAAAAACGTTGAAAGAATGACACACGGATTTGTCTCAGTAAAAAACTATTGCAGGCACATTTTAAAGTTTTTGTGTGTTTGCTTGTCCCACTTATAGTCATATAGCATGATATATTAGAGCATAAACTTGTAACTTGTAACTAATATTAAACTATTGTTTTAAATTTCATGAAAACGTAAGTGGAAAAACAACAGATGTTATGGGATGATACTTGTTTTTTACAGCAGGTGGCACACTAAGCCATCTTTTCAACTATACTGTGTGGGAGTTCACAGTTCAGAAAAATGTGATAGTCAAAGCATCAGTAGCCTGGTCTTCTACATTTAAATCACTTTTATTGAAAACAAAACAAAAAACCATGAACCATTTTCAATCAAACACATTAAAGGTTGAGATATGTTGTTACAGAATTAAAAAAACAGTAGAAATACACAAAAATAGAGTCACTCAGTATATGATATGTAACTATATATTACATTATTCTAGCAGACTTAACACTATTTTCATTTGTGCAAACCTAGATATGTAGCAGGTGTTTAGTTTAATAAATACATTAACAGCAGTTTTTACACATAAAATCCTTATCAAATATTACGGCAGGTAGGGGTGTAATGATATCAAAGTCTCACGATACGATATCGTCATGGTATGAACCTCACGGTACAATATTTATTGTGATATGATTGTGGAGGCTAAACAGTTAAAACTGTTAATATGTTACTTTTTCCTCTTAAATTTCCTCTGATGGTGCTTTCTCAACTGGTTCGCCTGTGTTCAGCCTCACATTTTACTATGTGTGGTTTTATGTATTTTAGCATGTTAGTGTGTATGTAAGTGTGTGTGCATGTTTGTGCGTGTGTGTGTGCGTGTGTGTCTGTCCGGGCTGTTTGGTTGTGTAGTCAGACAAGTGTGGGGGTTGGGTGGGTGGAAGGAAATGTGGGGTTGTTTTTAATCACTGTTCAGCACTTTGTTTTACATTTTTGTATGAAAAGCGCTTTATAAATAGTTTTTTTGTTTGATTTGATTTGATTTGATTAATATGCCTTGACAAGACTTAATCTAAACAACTAAGACTTAAAAGTGCTTAGAACTGTTATTTCTTCTTGTAGTCTACACTGAAATGGAGCAAAGGATTATGGTCTATGTAGTTCCCTAGCTATTGCTGTATCATAACTCTTAATTCTATATATTGTGATGGCCCATGATATTACTGTGAGAACTATGACGATACAATATCATGATATTTTGGCTAGTGTTACATTCCTAATGACAAGCCATCATTGAGAGGTCATAGGTCATCTGTGGGGATAGACTCATACAGTTTCTCCAACCGAGGGTCCAAGCCTGAGGACACCCAGCAGTAACCATCTGTTGCAGTATTCTTCTTGACTTCTTTTTTAACCTGATTGCATCTAACAGCTAAAATACCCACAGTGATAGCCACTAGGACCACCAATGGAATGACAGACCCGAGAACGCAGATGATCACCCTGTTATTGAAGGATTTGCTCAGACTTGTGGCTAGAGACGTATCCACTGGGTCTTGATTGTGGGTATCATTGAAGTCTGGAGATGGCGCGTTTGTGTGTGGAGATTCGTGTTGTAGTTCAACAGTGCTGCTCAAAGACTCTGTAAAATTTTCCTGGACATCTAGAACGACTGATGACTCTGATGGAGATTCTGAAAGAGATTCTGGAAGAGATCCCGAAGAAACATCAGTGGGAAAGCACACTCCACTGCGGTCGACCTGGTAGCCGCTCGGACATGCACAAACAAAGCTCCCCCTGGTGTTGACACATTCAAATTTACAAATACTACCCAAGCATTCATTGATATCTTCGCATGAATAACCATCTTCTGATAATTTAAAACCATTATTGCAGTCACAAGAAAATGAACCAACGCTATTCGAGCAAGTGTGTTCACATTTAGAGGTAACGCATTCGTCGATGTCCTTGCAATGTCCATGAATCATCTCAAAACCTTCTTCACAGCTACAGATGTAACTCCCCTCAGTATTGACACATGAACCTTCTCTGCACACTTCTTGCGATGCACACTCATCGATGTCTAAGCAGGAGCGCTGATCCGAGCTCAGTTCCATCCCGTCCGGACAAAGGCAGGTGAACCCCGTTTCTCCCATGATGCACTGATGCTGGCAAGTGTTTTCAGAGCACATGTTTTTCAACCCACAAGAAACTCCGTCTTCATTAAGTTCATAACTGTTATTACATGAGCAAGTCACTTCTTTTCCTTCCTGTTTGCAAACATGTTCACAGCCGCCATTTTTAATAGCACAACTTCTGTTTGTCTGGCAAAAAGGACCCGGTTTTGACCACGTATAGCCCTTGTTATGTGCATTACTGCACAGAATGTAGAAAGGTTCCTGGCCATCACACATGATATCAACATAGGTCCCGACTGGCAGCAACTTCAACTGGTAATTTTGAGATTCCTTCGAAAATGGGACGGTGTAGGTTATTTGTCCTGGTCCGGAAATCGTCAGAGCTTTGCACATTCCTTTGAAGTAAAACATGCACACATAAGGAAAAGGTTTTAAGCAGCTGCCATCAGTCCATTTCAAGTGGCTGTGGCTCATTGGGTTATAGCTGATGCTGACACATCTTTCATGGCAGGTAGAATGTGGCTCCCTTCCCCAGTTGGAATACTCGGAGTCCTCTGCACCTGACACCCATTTGAATCCTTTGAGTGGTTCCTGGGATATCACACAACTTTCTCTATGCAGTTTCAGTCCAATACGGATTTTAAAGTGTTTTTCCTGCAGTGAGATCTGTGATAGAAGCGTCTGGAGTATGTCTTCCTCCTCTTTGCTCCTTATCGTCATTAGATAGCCGCCATTGTTGTTGCAGTTCGTGTTGGCCTCCACAAATGAAAGTCCATCCAAGTGGAGAGTGAAACAGGCATTGGAGGTACATAAAGTTTCATATTCTGCGTTAGAAAAAGTCAACATCAGTAGAAAAATCAGCAGCATACTTGCAAAATAAAGTCAAAAGAATCTAAAAATCCAGGTAGATGTTGTTGACCAAGCTGTGGTGGTACACTCATGGCAACAATGCGGGAGTTCTAATGCCAACAGTCATGCTCCTTACGACAATGTGAGGTACACATGAGACTAACTAAAGACGGAAAAATGTTTCGCAGCAGATATGGGATCTTTTCTCTCTCTCCCCCCTGACCAGTTCCGTTACAGAGCCAGAAAACAATGGCCTGGCCCGTTGTGTTTTGACTGCCTCTCCAGATGTCTCCGGCCAGGGCAGCTTAGTGACTCGCTGATTGTAACACCTCACAATGTGTGAGCATGAAACAGCCAGAGACAACGTGACGAATGGATGGAGGGAATGCAGTAGCTGAGACAGAGCATGGGGCCAGCTGATTAAGGAGAGTGAGCAATGAGTTTGTGCTATTGTTAAGATCAGAGGTGGAAGAGGTTAGCTTAACTAAAAATAATCATGCTACGTCTACTTGTTTTTTCTATGTACTTGTTTTTTCACTCTGCACTAGCACATTGAGTTTGTTCTTCAAGTAGGAAATGCAAGTGAATATAGTGGTTGAAATTATGCCAAAAAAAAAATGACTATCAAAAAGTGTCTTGTACCAAAAGAAAGAAAGAAAAAAAATTAAATACATTTTTTGCCAGCTACTTGAAATGTTGTGCTTAATGTTAATGCTTTGCCCTAAATGTTACACAGTGTAGCACTTTTCAATTACAGTTTTTTTTTTTTTTGTAATTGCTCACATCTGACCTGTGACTTGGCCTGGCAGTGTCACCGACTTTATCCATAAACATAGACATATTTAATGTCATACTGTAGAACATTTCATGCAAATAGCATAACATTTCCAAATAGTATTAAAGACTAGATACCCAGCTGTCAAAGACAACCATACACCTTTCATTCAATCTAATCCAATCCACTTTATTTCTATAGCACATTTCACAAACAGCTTCCAAAGTGCTGCACAGATACATACTAATAACAACAATAATAAAATAAAATAAACTCAGATTTAATCATACTAGTCTTAAAATAATAAAACCAGTAAAATAAAATAAAATAAAAGCAAAATCATAGAATAGCAATAAATAAATAAAGCCAATAAAATACATTTAAAAACAAAAACACATGAAATAAATAAAAGACACAGAGGACCACACAACTCACACGGTGTTAAAAGCCAGAGAATAAAAGTGGGTCTTAAGAAGAGACCTAAAACTCTCCACTGTGGAGGCTGTTCGGATGTGGGGGGCAGAGTGTTCCAGAGCTTAGGGCCAACCACAGAGAAGGTCCTGTCCCTCTGGTTTTAAGTCTCGTTTTAGGCACCACGAGGTAGAGCTGAATCTCGGACCTCAGAGCTCATGCGTGGGTGTAAATTTGGATGAGGTCCCAGACGAACTGTGTGGCCAGAACATTCAAAGCTTTAAAAACAAATAATAAAATCTTAAAATCAAACAATGAAATCTTAAAATTATATAATCTATTACTTTTACTAGTTCTGTTAATTAACACTTTCATATTTACATGATGCTTCTCATGGAAAACAATTAAGCAACAGAATATCTTTTTTACTTCTAGAAAAAAATAGAAGGAGATCCGAGACACTTTGACTTGTCAGTGTGGCAAGACCGGCTTTGAGGGTCTAGGCTGCAGGTGCTCTTACCTGGCGTTCCGTGGCGCTGTGCTGGTGGGCTATTTAAGCGCTCCCTTCTCAGTCGTTCCCCCTTTTGGCTCACACGCTCTTCCGGGCCTCTCCTTGTGGCCGCTCTGTCCTCCAGCTCAGGTAACGTTCACTTGGTAAATTCCATGCCCGTTACATCAAATTTTCTATCACGTTTCCTTTTAGTGTCGCTGCTTGGCCGGTGCTCTCACCACATCTGTCCCTCGCGTCTCCGAATCACGGAGCACCTAGGGCGCGCTTTCGTCTCCCTGATAAGGTAATGCACGCCCGATACTCCTCCACTCATTCATCCGTGCCCATACTTTTACCGGTGTCTCTTTGTAGCTCCACGGGTGAGCCGAGCGAGTCCCTCTCCATTGCGCTTGGCGGTGCGCCGCCGTGTCTCTTAAACCGCGGCGGCAGGTAACCAAACCCTTATCACGTGCTACCTGTGCCAAACCACTATAAATTGTATGTTTGTAGCGTGTGCCGGTCCACGTTGTCTGGACCACTTCTGGACGGCGTTATCCTGTGTAGTTGCCTTTGATTCAGCCTGGGGATTACGCACCGTCACCTTCAACCACGGTATGTTTAGCCCAGATCCTTGCACTGCAGGCTCCGATCTTAATTCCAAAATTTAATTTTCTAGGTGTCAGCGGGGGCCTGCAGCGGCGTGAGGACACCACCTCTGCTGTGTTTTGTTTGCTGTTTTTTGTTTTGTTTGCTGTGTGTTTGCTGTGTTTTGTTTGCTGTGTTTTGTTTGCTGTGTTTTTGTTGCTGTTGTTTTTTGTTTTGTTTTGTTTTGCTTTTTGTTTTATTTTGTTTTGCTTTTGGTTTTATTTTGTTTTGCTTTTTGTTTTATTTTGTTTTGCTTTTTGTTTTATTTTGTTTTGCTTTTTGTTTTATTTTGTTTTGCTTTTTGTTTTATTTTGTTTTGCTTTTTGTTTTATTTTGTTTTGCTTTTGTTTTATTTTGTTTTGCTCTTTTTTGTTTTATTTTGTTTTATTTAGTTTTGCTCTGTTTTGTTTTATTTAGTTTTGCTCTGTTTTGTTTTGCTTCAGTTTTGCTTCGGGTTTTGGGGTTTTGTTTTGCATTTTCAATATTGTGTACTCGTTCTCTCACTGTAGTGTTTTACTGTTTGCTGATTTTTATGGACGTAGCTACTTTTAAACCACTTAAATCTGTCTTTTAAAATAGAAAGAAATAAAGATTTGTGCAAATGATGGAACCTGGCTCTCTCTCTTAATGATATGCTTACCTGTGGGCCTTACATTTAGATTTAATTTCCCCAAACTACTAGCTTTGGGTGGCGTTGTTGTTGCAGCAACTCACCATAAAACTTAACATTTCCCGGAGTGTTGAACCCCTCGGTTGCCACATTCTTGGCGTTGTTGGCAGGATATATCAAAGCAGAGGCCCAGGTTCCATTTAAATCATGATTATTGTGGCTATGGAAGACCAGTAGTGCTATAGAAGAAAAAAAAATATATAAAAATTTTGCTACTTGCTATCGGTATTGGGTGTCATCCAGCTCCATGCTTATTGTCTTGCATGTTTATTTGTTCTTTTTTTTGCATGTTTTAGTTTGCTGTGATTTCTTTTGATTTTGTTGTGATATATTTTGATTTGCTGTGTATATTTGTAACTGTATTAGCAGTAAGGTGCTGGAGTAACTGGTTTGTCCATCTTTTATTGTGGTGGCAGTTCAAAACATTAACTTGATTAACTACTGCTTCAAGATCGTTGTACTCTTGAATTGCACTGTCTTGTCGAATGTCAATTGTAATTCCTTTTTGATTAATACATTCCTTTTTTTCAGAAGCAAAACAGCAGTGGGTGGTGTGTGGGACCTTCCTTTTTTTGTTAGATTTTGGCTGAACTTGCGCGTCCCAATGGAGGAAGAGCTAGAGAACCTCAGGAACCAAATAGCTCAGCTGACTGCCGATAACGACAGGCTGCGTTCAGCGCAGGCAACCTCCAGTTCTGGTGCAGGTCCTTCTACTGCACTCACAGCTCAACCTACTCCTCGCGCCGATAGGTTAGTATTCATACCTCGTGATAGGAGATGTCCAATGTTTAGGGGGCACACTGGCATCGGCTTGGGTGAATGGGTGGAGGAGGTTCGGGCTTGCATGAGGGCGCGACACCTGTCACGGGCAGATCAGGCTTTCTTCTTGTACGACCATCTGGAAGGTGAGGCCCGTAATGAGATCAAATTTCGCTCCGAGGAGGAACGAAGCGACCCAGAGGAAATGATCTCTATCCTTCAAGAGTTGTATGGGTGCTCCGAATCGTATGTGGCCTTGCAAGAACAATTCTTTTCCCGGAAGCAACAAGAGGGGGAGACATTACAGGAGTTCTCTCTTGCCCTGCTGAGCCTCATGGATAAGGTTAAAGCATGTGCTCCCGCACCTTTGTCAAATGCAGAGTCCTTGTTGCGCGATCAGTTTATTGAACATGTACTGGATGGTTCATTGCAGCGCACTTTAAAACAATATGTTCGCCAGGATCCCACCGCGTCTTTGCTTGTGGTCAGGGGGGAGGCGATGAGATGGGAGCGCAAGGGTCTGCCAGCTGGCATGCGCGGGCGTAGTAATTCAGTGCCTGCAGCCTTTGGCCTTCAATACGCCGTGCATGGGGAACCATCACTGACCACTCGCCACGCCCCAACTGAGGTAAGTGAGGTGAAAGAGCTTCTGAAAAAGCAGCAGGAACAACTTGATCTGCTGACCAAGAGTATCGCCCTGTTACAGGCTGCGCAGGTCGGTCCACAGCGTAGTCGCTCACCGCGTCGGGGCCCCATTGTGTGCAATCGTTGCCAGCAGTCTGGCCATATCGCCCGACATTGTGATGGCCTTCATGTCCCTAGTCAATGGGAAAACCGACCCACACAGTGCCAGTTCGGTCCCCAGGCGGAAAACTAGCGCCACCGTGCTGCAGAGCCAAAGCTCGGGTGGGGCATCCACAGGCTCAACTAGTGTGTTTAAGGGTTTGGCAGATGCACCCAAGTTGATTGCGTCCTGCCCACATATCGATGTGAATATGGCTGGAACGACTGTGCCATGCCTAGTTGATACAGGATCAATGGTGTCTACTGTGACCGAAGGGTTCTTTCGGCAGTATTTTGAGCCCTGGGGGGAGGAACGCTTAAAGGCTTGTCATTGGCTCCAGCTCAGAGCAGCCAATGGACTTGAAATCCCCTACATCGGCTATTTAGAGTTAACTGTTGAGCTCTGCGGTAAAATGATGCCCCACTGTGGTGTTTTTAATAGTTGGGGACCCCCCAGGGAATGTTTCCCCACCAATCCCTGGAGTGTTGGGAATGAACATTCTTCGGAAATGCTACCAGGAGTTATTTGGACAGTTTGGACCGTCTCTGTTCAACACCGATCCCGTGGTAGCATCCCCTGCTCAGTTGGTAGACGCCCTCCAAAAATGTCATGCTGCGGACCTGCAGCCTTCCCCAAAACAGCCAGGTAAGGTTAAGGTGCAGGGAAGGAGGGTCGTTCGAGTCCCAGGGGGTGCTATGAAGAT